TTAACCTGAAGTATATAAATTACAGCAAAGAAGCATTTCATTGTCCATGTGTTTTTTAAAAATAAATCTCTTCTGCAAATCAAACTAATGCATAGCTATACAAATTCCTAGTTTTCCTCTAGGGTTATAAACTCCTTATTATATATCCACTTAATTATTTCTCCTTTGTTACCCCTTTTATCTGTGTACTCTGGCAGTCACAGCTCCACAGGCAGTGATGCTCAGTGCATGTACCCCTATAGCACAATCATTCAAACACTGGGTGAACCACTCTCAGAAAGATTTCTACTTTGCCATCTCCATGAGTCCTATTTTTCCTCTGATTAAAGTATTAAACCCTTTGATAGGTCTGGCTATATAGTGACTGAAAGAAACAAGGTTTCTTAAATAAATCTGCTCGTGGAAGTTGCTGACTGATTTCTTCTCCTTTAACTTTATATAAGTACACCACATGGTCTAGTGGATAAGAAGTATTTATTTTTCCCAAAGAAAATGCTTGTATTTGTTCCAGGGGCAAACAGGTTTATATGGCTTTGTTCTTTCTTTAACTGCCTCTATTTTTCTACAAAATATCATTAGGATTTATCTAAATTAATTTAATATAGGAAGAAAATAAATGCTGCTGTTAAACAATCAGAGCCAACCTTGCAGTCTGGACTTGAGAGAAGTCCTGTTTGAGGAAAATTATCAAAATACAAACTCTTAAGTATAATTTTCAACACTTTGACAAATATATTCTTGTGTAATTTGGACTTGTCTGCATGACTAGCATTGGGTAAGATTGAAAAGGTCGGGCTGAAGATCATACAGCTCTGGTGTGCTGTGGGAGTCAAACTCACATGCTCCCACGGAAGTTTGGTCTGTGAGTGACCCTCTCTTGGGAAGAGTTTTCCTCTGGCTGTGGCACTGACCGGCACAGCTTCATCCCCTGGGGTGATCACCCTTACAGCTGCACAGCCCCACAACTGCAGCGAGCCCCCAGGGTGATGGGTAGACAATGAGGGTCAGTGGTGCTGCCCTCACAGTGCTGGGCACCCCTTTGCTTGGGAGACAGCAGTCAGTTTGTAACCAACCTGGGCCAAAACCTGGGGAGCAAAGCTGGTAGGCAAGTGTGTCCTGAGGAAAGAATATTTCCCCTCTCCTGTCCCTGTGCTGCAGGCACCGCTTCCTAGGCAAACTGCCCCAACCCTGGGCTCCTTCTCTCAGTAGCAGGAGTTACAGTTGATGTGGGATATGCATTGCGGTAAAAAGCAGTTCTGCAGCTGCAGGTCAGGATTGCCTCCTGGGGGTGGCAGTCAGAGTATCCTTTTGGACCAGAGCTGGATGCATCTAGGCAGAGCAAAGCGGATGCCCTAAGCCAGGGTACAGCCACGAGAGATCCCAGCAAACCAAAAATGCTCCATTACTAACAGCAAGGCTCCAGCCACTGCCTAAGAAGACAATGGTTTTGATTTATTGCAATACTATGCCCAAAAATATATAAATAAAGGAAATCTGGACAAGAGCTTTTTGATAATATTATTTCACCTTCTGCATAATTCATCTGTTTCTAATAGTTTACTGGACTTTTTCTCTGCAGTCAGTACTGATCACTGTATTCTACAAGAAAAAAATGTAAAGTAGGACAAGCAGTTACTTTAAACCAGAAAGGCTATATGCTTACTTTTGACAGCTACAATCTGACTATGCTAAACTGAATAATAAAAGTTACAGCTGATTTGTGGCAAATGGTAACCTCAGGGGTCTGAGGCGGGTTAATTATTGCTACAGTTACATCTACTGCCTGAAATGCATTTGCTACAGAGGTTGGAGAGACTGTAAAGTTTATTTTTCCAGGTATTATTTGAACCTGTTGCAAAAGAAAAAAAAAGTTTCTATTGAAATTAAACACTATGTTTATTATTAAAAAAAAAAGTGGAGGTGAATCTGCTAGAATTACTTGATTAAGGAATTAACAAAACTGCTTCTTCTGTTGGGGAAACCCGCTAGTTTTGGTGATTTGTTATACAAATCCCAATGATAGCAGCAGAGCATATACCATTTGCTCCCTATTTTAGTCTGTTAATAGAATAGAATAGAAGTCTGATTACAACAAGCAAATCCCATGAAACCTCTAAAATCTGGTAAACATCAGAGATGATAAAGCAAATCTTCAACTTCTACTCTGTGTGTATACACAGTATAGAAATGTATAAATCTCTTCAACTTGTGAAGAAAATAAAAATTGAGATAATGCTGCCTTCCTGGTGCTACACTATTGTAGTAGTGTGGGCATCTGCACTGAGTTTCTCTTCCCAAAATTAAATACTTAAATTCAAATGCAGACTTGGGTTTAGTTTTTTGTGCTGGTACTTTAAGCATTAATATCCTCTCATGTATTTCTGTAGTGATGGGTTTCCTTTCCTCTGTTTTCAAAATAATAAGTCTCAAACATTAGCCTCTCCTTTGAAATGAAGTTAGAATAAATGAAATCTGAGTTTATTGGGAATGAGGTGAAGTTAATTGAATTAATGAGTTTTGCTCCACTTCTGGACTTCATGTTAGTCTTCTATATAGAGAAAATACTTCTGTTTCAAAGTTTTCTTCCAAAATATGTTGAGAAGTCCCTTTTCAGTAACCTTAAAAACTTTGTTGAAGTTGAAAATCACCAAAACATCTATATTTAGAAATGTTCGGGTTTTGAGAAAAGTCATCCTTCTCATGAAAGCACAGTTAACCAAAAGATGTCCTGATCCTTCTAGTGAGATATCTTTTTAAAAATCAAAATTAGCTGAATAAGAGCTAGATATATTTTTTTGTTCCTCTTCTCTTTGAAGGTTGTAGCACATCTAATATCTTGAAAAATAAGGAAGGAAAGAAACCTTATCTCTGTGCCAAAATGCTTTTAGTGTGTATCAAATGGCTTCCTGTGTCTTTCAGGTGATCAAATTAGCAATTTTTATTTCTCCAGTTGCCAGAACTAATATGACAATCCTCAAACTACAGTTAGTCATTGCAGGTAGAAAAATAACCGTTGAAAATCTGGAAGCAAAAAAGAGAGGCAATTTAATATACAAATAGAACATGCAGGAGAGTGTACATTGAGCTGTAATAATGCACTTAAATAATCCCCAACTTATGAGTGTGTCAGTGAGACTGTGGCATTCCACTGCGTTGCTGCTGCTGGGGGCTCTGGCTATCCCAGAGACATGCTGTCTTCATAGCCTTTCTTCCTTCAGTGTTATATTTCAGGTAAGCTTTTAGCTTTCTCTAGCAGAGAAAGATGATTTCTCATAGAGCAGATAGCAGCAATAGCACTAACACACCTATAAAATACCCCATGTTTATGACCACTTCTATGATTGCACAAACCAACTTCCCCAGGGCTCTGTTTTGCATTGTGGAGGGGGGTGGTGATGCTGCCTGTTCCCCCTGTGCCCCCCTCTGCAGTATCTGCTTGTGTGCTTGGAGGTTGTGCAGTAGCAGAGCAGCACTCCCAGTCCTCAAATTGAGGGATCCCATCCAAAATCAGGGCAGAGAACTGATCCAGTACAAAACCAGACCTGAAGCAACCTCACTGGAAGTGCATGGGAGTCTGTAACTAGTGCTGTGCTTTGCTGTCATGTCAGACCATGCTGATACTACTTCTTGTCACTGATATTCACAGAAAGTATGACTTAAGCCATTCTTAAAGCCTGAGCAAATACTTCATGCTCAGGATACATTTCCATGTATGTTGCTAATAATTTTTGTGCAGCATATGTTCTTTGCTCACCCCTCATCTTGTCTTCCCTTGCCAAAGCAGTTCCCCATGACCCCTTCCAGCCTTCTTTTATTGCACATTTGAGGAGCCGCTGATCTGTGGGGCAGCACAATAGTACTAACAGGGGCAGAGTGAGATAAGAGCAAGTGCCTGGAGATAGGGGAGTAACTCTGTGGTACTCTCCAAGGTGTAAAAACACTCTCTTGGGCTCTGTAGTCAAGTCCTCTTTTGCACCTCCCTTGAGAACTAGACAAGCATTGTGCCAAAATGCAGATTTTCAAGTCTGTACCTTAGAAAAGTGTCTTGCTGATGTGATATTTAGGAGAGACAGGTAACTTGTTTCTGCCTGATCACTGCTATGATGCTTTCAAATTGAGGTTGTTTGAACACTAAAGACATTAAATAGAATAAAAACTGACTTGAGCTTTCTGGTTACCCCCAGGCCATTATAATCCTCGCTAATGAAACTGTCTGTTGCAAAAATGGATGAAAGTAATGCTCTTCTTTATTAATCTTTTCTAAATCTCTATCTGGAAATACGTCTCCTTTTCATCTTCTTTTTTTTTCTTCCTTTTCCCTTAAATCCACTGACAATTATTTTAGCAGCTCTATCAATTTGGAGACTCACGTTTTAGCGTTTAACTGAAATAACCTGAGAAATGATTGATCATTAAGGAAGGATGGCAACAATCACCCAAGGACAAATCATGGGGGTATTCATCACTTTCTCTGGAGTCAGAATTGTTCTATTGATATAGAAAATCTAAAACACCCTAACAAAAAATATAATGAAATATAAAGCAGCTTTTTTTTTTTTTTTTTTTTTTTTAGGTTTAGGTAAAATTAATTTCAAGGCACTTCTATAATTTGAAAAGACTAGTGCACTAGCCTTTAGGCTTTTTTTTCCTGAAATTTGGAGAGCTGATGACAGTAAGATATCTATGTACCACATACAGCTGTGTAGGTCTTCTAAGGCCGGAGTAATCTTGACATCAATAACAAGTAATTAGCACCCATTGACTTGAGTGGATTAGCAGGGTTATGGGAAAAAGAGAACCTAAAAGAGAACACTAAAAACTCTATAAACCTTTATTGGAACAAGTTCTTTAAAATCTCAAACTCTTGTATACAATTAAGTAATATTGTGACTTTCAAATATTTACATGACAAAATAATTTGGAACAGCTCTTTGATAAAACAGTTGAATATACAGTAATTTCATATCAGAAAGTTAACAAAAGTTGATTTTATAGCCTTCCAATGGGTTTAGCGTAACAAATCTCAGAGCAAGAGTTATCTATGAATCTATAACTTATGACTGCATAGAAACTAAAAAGAATATTCCTTTTTGCTGAGGTTACTCTTAGGGTTATGTTCTTTGCAAGTGCAAGACTCTTATGGAATTAATTAACTGCTGGCAATGTCAGTAGCCTTATGTTTGAAATATTACGGAGGAGTTATTTCTATTTTGTTACGATACTGATTTTTAACACATGTAGGAAAGATGTTGCCTAATTACCCTTCTTATTATCCATGTATTTCTCAAAAAAATCCTCCTTTGGATGTGTAGCTTTTCTGCCTTCTGCAGAACAAAAAGGCCTCACACTGTAAATTAGATGTCAAATTGCCTTGAAGTGCTGGATAAGTACTGAAATAATTGAGGAAAATGGAAGAAGAGGTAACAGTTCCTTAGGGATCATCACATTTGCTAAACATTTTAGAACAATACGCAGTGGAAGAGATTTTCTGTTTGCACGCTTTTTCCTAATTTCTACTGAGGGATGATAATTTGAGTTATAAGTTGCCAGTAGATGTTGCAAGAGGATGGATTGGCTCAGATCAGGCTGACAATGAGGACATTACAGCAGAGGCCTAAATATTGCGTAGTGTATAGCGATAATAAAATAATTTTTAAAACCTGATGATATCTTATCTGCTGTCTGGTTGTCCTTCCTTTTGTTTTGTGGGTTAGAGGACCTGACTATGTGCATCATTTAGGGAAAATTAGGGTGCCTCAACCAAAGATGTCAAGTTAATATTCATGAACTGGAATATTAGAATGTTTTGGTTTACTAATGTAGGAGAGAAGTTATCTAAGTCCCCTGCAATTCAATTCACCTACAAGATTAAAATACTGGGACAAAAGGGTGCAAAAGGAGATGACCAGGAACTGATGACAAGTGTAAAACAAACAGGAGTGCAAGGGGCTCACAGGCAAGCAGAAGAGAGAAATACTGAATGGGGTCAGGGAAGAGAGGGGCCAAGGTAGCACCCAGGCTGAAGCTGAGCCCATGAACCCGTTGTCTGCAGAAAGTAACCAGAGTGAGTGGGTGCTGGGCAATGGCCATGGCAAATGCAGAAGTCAATGTGAAAATGACGATCAAAGAAAGAGACTGGTGGGATGAAACGGGGCAGTGCAGAGCCAGGCTGAGGTATCAGATGAATGAATGACCCCCTCCATAGTTAAAGGCTGGGGAGGAAGAACAATGATGTAAAAACGTTTAGGGAAAACAGAAATACTAAAAATCATATTTGTCTGGTATGGAGGCAACCTGTTAGCATTATCCATAACTATACTGAAAGGCAAAGTACTTGGCCAAGGAACTGCCCAAAGCATTGCTTTGTATTTTTAAATGCCTAGAAAGTACCTGAAGAAGAAAATAAATTCCCTAGCATGTCAGATTTTAGAGAGGGTAAATGACATACCCTGGATAATCATTAAGCTCTAACTGAGACATAAGTTCTGGGCAAAATTTATTTTAAAGTTTGATATAGAGATTGATTAATCATGAACACCAGAATAAGAATTCATGCTTATTGGCATGAGTTTACAGAATATAATTCACTCAAGGTAAACTTAAAAAATAAAATATATAAGTGAAACCAAATCTCTGAGAAACTGACTTGGAACTGTGCAGCATTTTATCTGGCAGAAGGACCACCTAGAATTAATATTAATCCCAAACCATCAACATGCACAACACAGGCTCTTATCAAATGCCACAGCAGAGTGAGGTAGTGCATTGTGCTATCATTGATGTGTGGCTAGGACAGGATGATGGATCATCATCATGTCAGAACTGAGTTATGCCAAACAATGTCACCTTTGGGGGTCGGTTAATTTTCAAAAGCAAAAAAATAAAATACAAAAGGCAAAGACTCCTTTTTGTCCCAGCTGTGCATCAGCTCTCTGCAGGGAGAAGGTGGTGGATGTTGGACATGGAGCTGTATGGGCTGGAGCAAGGTAGGGTGAGAGTCACAGGTGGACACTGGGGAACTGCTGGGTCCCCACTGACTGCCCTCCAACCACACATCTGGTAATGGTCCCAAAATACATCTTTTTATCTTGTACCATTAAAGAAATGTTCTCTGTTTTGGGCATCCTCAGGTTACTGCTTTGCAAACTGTAGGAAGGCTGAGCATAACATATTTTTCTGTTGGAAAAAAGTTGCTAACAAAGCTGCTACTGAAAAATATCTACTACTGTTTTTTAAAATTTTCTGAATTTCAATCTTCCACTTTTTTTTCCCCTGCATTATTTTAAACCAATATTCTACAGAATGAGTTTGCTGTCAGGAAATAGTGGAAATGTTTTTAAAAGAAAAAAGTTGTTAGACTGAGCTTAAAACACTTTTTTCAAAGTTAAAAACCATCCAAGCAGGGAAAATCTATTTACCATTACTCATCAATTAAATCCAACATTTGTAATAAATAGTTTTGGACAATGATGAAGTCTTTTATTCTTTGAGGAAATTACTGATCAAGTCACATTCAGTAATGAATGAATGTTGTTTGCTGTAAACATTCTTTTCTTCTATATTGTGACACGTCCTTTATTATTCACAAAGCTGAACCATCCTCTGTATTTGTCAGCTGTTAGCGACACTTAGAAGCCATCCCAGAGGCTTGGGGCATTTGTTTTCTCTCTTTGATCAAGATATGCGTGATAACTTATTAGTGAGTTATTTGCAGGCAAACTAAAACTGATCATATTAAACATGTATTGAGTGGGAAGGCACTCTATATTTAAATAGAAGATGAGGATAGGTAGGATATGATAGGGTAGGGTATAAGATATGGTAGGATGTGAATTTGCTTTTTTAAACAAGGCAAAGGAAGCTTTGCATGGACATGGATCCGCTTTTATGTGTTACATATTTAAACTACATCCCTAAGAGACTTGCTATAGAAAATCAATGGACACAGTTGTAACATTTATATTCCCACCCTGAGGTATCCCAGGAGTCTGATTTTTTTTCAGTGTAATTAAAGGTGACCAGGCACACTTAGAAGTCCATGTCTTTCAGATATTGCAAGCTCAATTTTCAACAACAGAAGCAGCAGAAAATGTACTGCATCTGAAAACCTCGACCACGTAGTCACGCATAACACATACTCATCTAAACGTGTTTGGTGTCAGTACTGAATTGTTCAATTTTTCAAGCTCGCTTATTTAAAAAAAAAAAATGTTTTCAAGTTGAATATTCCTGAAGTAGGTGGTTAGAGAACAGCCCTTGGCAGGGAGGAGACTTACATAGAGAGAGCTAGCCCAGGGCACTCATCTGTGGAGATAATGAACTGAAAGGCAATCTCAAAATAATAGTTTTCACTTCTCCGATGCCTTTAATTTGAAAACCAAAAAACATACTACAGACAGAGTCCATGCCCTTGCCGGGCTGCAGTCACTTCTGGCTATTCCTTTGAGAGACTTCTCAGCTGCTCTCTCTGTCCTCAGAGGTGGTCTGTCAGTCCTAGCCTGGTACCTCCCCAGCAGATGCTCTGTGCAAATCAGTGCACCATTCAGAAAATGCAAATTGAAAAATAAACATTGCATAGGTATGAGCTTCACATCCACAAAGCCAGGGCTGTCCAGAATTATGGACATGGAAACAAACACCCTTGAAAAACAAAACAAAGAAACCCACCGAACTTTGAACAGAAGTGGTTTTAAGTGCTGCACAATACAAAACTGCAGAATGAGACAGAATCATGAACTATTTTGAGAACTTGGGGGTGGGGGGGAAGAGGTTTCTTTTGATTTGTGAGGAATGTAATTGCAGAAAGAATTTAAATCAGTCTCTAATCTTGCCACTGTGCTTTTCTTTTTTTCTTTTCTTTTCTTCCTTCTCCTTGGTGATGTTTCCTTTCTGAAGACCAAAAATAGCAGGACACAACCAAAGCGTTTGCTTGTCTGGCCTTTTGAGATTAATTATACTTAAATCCAGTTCTTCCAATATCTGGGGGATGGTTAGCTTGTGTACTGCTTCCCTTTAGCCAGTTCTTTGCTGTTCTGACTTCATGATTCACCATCACTGTGTACACACAGGAAAGAAAAAAACACACCAGTGTCATGCTGTTGGGTTAGTTGTCTCAGCAGGAAATAATATGAAAAAGTATCTCTGGAGTCCACATGAAGGTGTTACCAGAAAATAAATCTGTCAGTCATGCAACAGATGAACAGACTCCATTTGTAGTGTTGGATGCTGGCAGCAAGGGCTGCTCTGATTTCTCTGATGGTTAGTGGCTGCCCAGCACAGCCTGTCTCCTGCTCCGAGGCCTCTTTCCACAGGTGAGGATAACCTTCTATAAATAGAATTTTTGTATTACATCTGACCTCATAACCGGTGTATTTTCTCTTTGTCCCACTGCTTTCTGCCCAGCTAGTTTGTTCCCTAGCTCTTTCTTAATAATGTTCTTAATAATGTTCATGCCAACATTAAAAATGAGACATCTTTTATCGGCTGACTGGATTTCAGTCAGCATTAACAGCAGAGTTTTAAACCACTTTTGAAGCTAAAAGAGCCACTCATAATATTTTACATGTTTTTTTAACTCCCTTGTCAAACTGAGGCACATCCTAGGAAGGCAGTACTTCTTTCTGTACTAACTTATTACCCACCTAGAACATCTCTCCATAAGAAAGACTCACACTTTTCAGATAGAAAGACTAGGAGGGTGCCGAGCAGTACCCAAGGCAAACAAAACCTCTCAGGAGGTGTGATAAAGCATAAGGGGATTGCTTGTACTCCACATCCTACAACAACCCATGCTGTGACGGGGACAGGCTGTGCTGGGGGAAGTAAAGGTCCCTGGAGCAGAGATTGGTCTTGTACCCTCTTGTGCACCACAGGAGAATCAACCCTTGCCTGCTGGCCCTGCTCCCACTGCCTGCTCCCTCCTGCATGGACAGGATGGGAGCCCTGGCCCCAGGGAGGCTGGGGAGGTTTCTGTGCTCAGGCACAATCAGGATTTTAGCACTAGGTTTCAAAGCCGAGACACATTATTTCAAATATATATTTTGAAAAATTTATATAATTTTTGAAAACGTATACATATGTTTGTAACTTAGCTTACATGCAAGGTAGGTGATGTCCACCTACCAAGGAGCCTGGACTGTCATCTATTATGTATGGCCAGACTTCGCGAACGAAGATTTTGGGAAAGGTCTTTTACCTTTCCAGCCTGCGCAATGGATTTTTTAGGTGAGACACAGCCTGTGCTGAACTGAGCCCACCCTTTAATCCTAAGGTTCATCTGCCGGGGCCAAGCAAGCTTGGACAATGGCAGTGAGGTCCTCAGGACGTAGGTTTGTTTAGAGTGACCTTCTCTTAGATGGATGGCCTCACAGGGCTAACAAGCTCCATCTGCCCAGGGGAGAATCCCTGACCGGGAATCGAACCCGGGCCGCGGCGGTGAGAGTGCCGCATCCTAACCACTAGACCACCAGTGCACAAATGTGCAGCCTTGATGCTCATGAGTACAAATTTTGTTATAGTAATAGCTTTGTTTCATTTTACTTCATAGTCTTTCACTTTCCTTGCTCAAAATAGCTGCTGAAAACATCTATTTATCTGTATGTAGTTCTCTTTCTGACATTATTTATTCATCTAAGCATTTGATCAGGAAAACCAGCAGATATTGGTCTGATAGGGTTCAGTTGCAGGAATAAACAGGAATCAGGTTTTTTTCATCGTTTACCCAGAAATCCCAGCACTTCAGATACCTTTTCTCATTGAAATAAAGCATATTTCAAAATTTCATGTGTAACGAAATTTGCAGAATTAGCTTGGACTTAAGGGAAACACTCAGTTTGGAAATATTTTACCACCACAGGGTTCTGTTCTTCAAACTTTTAAAAACTTTTATATTAAAAAGTCACTTACTCTGAAAGATAGTTTTGGAACAACTGAAAATGTCAAAATGTAACTATTGAAATGGTTAGTCTCATATAGTTTCAAAAGTATATCACAGTCAGTCACAGTTCAAAACATTTGGGTCTTGATGAATTTCCCCACAGCATCTTTATGAAGCACAGAAACAACACAGCCATCTCTGTTCAGTGAGGCCTTGAGATGTTTCCCATACTGAAATATCATCAATAAAATCTAAAAGAGAAATTACCATAATTTGAGAAGAATTTTGCCCAAACAAAGCAGTCTTTCAGAATCTGAAATTGAATCTAATAATCTCACACTTTGTATTCAACTAATATCCTTTGTCTGAGCAGCTCTGAATGTTTTAGAGATAAATTTCCTATTTTTATTTGCATTTTTTTGCCTTTCCACAATTTCTCTATAGTCTGATTCTCAGGTACCACTCACAAGAAAACATACTTAAATGACGTGTGTGGCTTCACTCTGACTGAAGCATATTTGTCTGAACAGGGTTGCTTTTTTACATCAAGGCTTAAGCCTCACTATATTATTCTGAAGTGACAATAACTCCATTTTACAGGTGAAGAATTTGAGGTAAGGTGTAGTCTAAAGATGCCTTTTGACAGCCAAGAGCAAAAACACCTCATTCTGATGGGGTTAATGGAAATCCAGTACAAAAGCACTTTAGCAAGGATGATATTTAAAATGCCAGCTCAAACTGGTATGTCATGATGATTTTTTTCTGAAAATTAACTGTTTAAGTTTTGGAAAGTAAACTTAATGCTAAGGTTGGTGTGCCTAAAAAGCCTTTTAGAGTATGACTGACTTTTGCTGGTGTTAGCATATGACTCAAGCATGCTTTGTCCTATACTCCCTGCTATAGTCAGTGGAATGCTCAGCAAATCTGCTTTTAGAGAACCACTGTGCAGCTGCCTCTCCTTAACAATTTTCCCCCTCTGAGTTATCGTTTAGAGGCAGGAAGGGAAGACACAGATGGCTAGCAAATCCAGGATCTTTTCCAGCTGCTCAGGGTAGAATTAATGTGCTTGCTTGCATCTGGAACTTAGGATCTAAGTCTTTTTTTAAACAAAACTAAACTAAAGCAAACACCTCACAGCACAACAATGATGATTTCTCTTGCAACAGGTGTAGGCAGAAACCTTTTAAATACAAATGGCTGCACTGGAAAAGCCCCATCCAAAAGGTCCCCTGAAACTGCAGCTTTGGAGCAACTGAGTTGCAAACTCTCCAGCAGTGGTGATTTAACATCCCTGCTATTTCATTTCTGAGCAAGAAAACTCAGGGAAGAGGACTAGGATATTATGAGAGTCCACAGTGGGAGGTGCAGTTCTGCCAGAGAGACATATTTATCTTAATTATCTGGTGCCATGGGAAGCAGAAGACCCAGGTCCCCTTCCTGCCACCTGTCCCTGCTCCTGGCTTTGCCTGATTGCATCACTGCTTCCACTGCACTGGGGATTTTCTTGGCACATAGGATAGTTTACTTGTTTGTTATCATAACCTGGCACAGAGGAGCTGCTTTGCCCACTACCCAAAACGCAGCTGCAACACAAGGGTGCGGGCAAGGGCAATGTACAGCCTCTTGTTTCCAGGTGGAAATAGAATTTTTAATTAGGGAAAACGGGAGTTTGAGAGGGGTTTAGGAGTTCTGGCCAAAATACTGAGGAAACCAGCCAGGAAGATTTTGAGTTTACAAGCTCTCAGAATTGCAGTTTTGCAGCCCTCTGGGATCTCTGCTTGTACTATGAGCTAGTGCCAGCTCGGGGGGAGTGCTGCACCAGGGCACTGGGAAGGTCCTTTAGGTTTCTCTGGGGTCAGACAAGTCCCTGTCTGGCAAGTCACAGCTCCAGCCAAAACATCTGGCAGTGGTTCTCAGGGACCTATAGGCACCAGACAGCAAAGGGGAACTGGGTGCCTGCACTGGTGAAGAGTGCCAAGGAAGCTATGCTGAATGCTTGTATTAACACCTTGGGAAACTGTGATTAAAGTCTGATCAGCAAGTGAAACTCCCTCTGTGGCATCTTGTTTTCTGCCTTGCACCAGTTTACAACTGCAAGATTATTTAGGGTTGCAATTTACTGGCAGAGACCTTTTTAGAAATGAGTGTCAAGCCTTTTGTTTAAGTTGAAGTCAAAGTCCCTATATATAAAATCTTTAAAATTGACATAGACCAAAGAATGACTCTGTAATTACATACAAAAAATAGATTATTTTAGAGTGACATTGACTGTATTTCTTCAAATAATATAATGAATTAAAGTACCTTGGGTTGGCAATTGATTCTTTTTCTTCTTCTCTTACAGTAGGCAAACATTCACAGTCAGCTGAAAAACGGTAAGAAACAAGACCATAGTTACTCTTGGCAATTCTTCTACATGTATTTCAAAAAAGCATCAGTTTTTATCATGCAGTCTCTCTAAAATATAGATCTGTGGATACACTTCTGCACTGTTTTATCTGCACAGACCCCATAGCATAAATGTTACACATTTTAAATCCTCCTTCCTTTTGATAAGTGTTGCCAGAATTTCTTTATTACATATATTTCAGTTATTTATGTATACCTATACAAATTAACTATTTTTGATGACTGCTTCCCTACAAACTGCCATGGGTAGGGTTGTTTGTTAATCTTCCATTGCTTATAGTTGCACCTGTGCTTTATAGGAGAGCTGGGAATTTGGGACTGGAGTTTAGGATACACTAACACACACACACACAAGTATATTTGTTCCCTTCTCTCCACAAAATTTTAAAAAATATTTTACAACACTGTTGTCCTGTGTAGTACGCTTAATGTGTCTCTTTCACTATTGCCATGTTTTCCACTGGAGCTTACAGACCTCAAAGGTCAAAACCCCATCACGTGGAGTGCTGTGCTAATGCAAAGAAATACTCCAAAGAGTTTTATGTCCTGAAAAACAAAGCATCCCTCATAGGTCAGGCAAATGAGCCATTTGCATATAAGGCAAGGAACCAGGAATGAAAAAAATATCAGTGTTTCAGCATTTCCTAGTCAGTGAAAAGCTGTTCGGGGTTCAAAATCAGGCCTCGGTTAATTCATGCCTTACCAAAGATCCGCATTTTTTGAGGAGAGCCTTGAAGGAGAATGCAGGGCCCTTCAGGATTTTGACTGGGAGATTACAGTTGGGAGGAAAATGAGCGGGAAAATGCAAGATACTTAGAGAGAACAGAGAAGGGAGCTGAAGATGCTGCTGCTGGTAGTTACTGAAGATTCTAATTGCTCCATGGGCTGATAGACTTGCAAGAGAGGGGAAGGATGTATTCATAGGTTCCTGACAGCAGCTTTAAGTAAATGGTGGTCTGAGCTACAAACAAATGCATATTTCTCCTAGAATACCACAATGTGGAGCACAAAACTGTAGAAATTCTGAAGACTGAAAGGACGAGGTGCTTCATAGAAATTAATATTTAACATTAAAAATGTGTATTTAAAAATATAAATACCCCTCACAGCTATATATGTGTTTAATAGAAATGTCTACTAGAAGCTGAAAACATTTATGAGATTCCACCACATGTTAAAAATAAACTCCCACACAAACCAAAATACTCCTCTGAAAAATTCTACCCCTGACATTTGTGCAGTTATTTTAGTAGGAGGGAGCCAAGATCACAACTAAAAATGTTGTAGGAAAAGCAGTGACATGCATACAAAACACCTTACGTTGATTTTCTACACATGGGATCTACGTCAGCTAGCAAGAGAGGGAGAATGGAGTAGAGGGGTTACCGTGTACCATTTTTGTTCATGCTGTTCATCCATTTATCAAGCTCTTCCATTTCTATCTCCATAACAGAGGGCGTGTCTTCTTCAAAAATAGGACTTGAAAGAAGAGAGGGGGAAGAAAAGCATTACACAAAATGTTAATTTGTACAATTTACAATGTAGTAATTTTGTATGACTCTTTCATAATTCCAGACACATGTATTATCTGTGGAAAGCCATCTGAGGAGATGTCCACCCAACGGGTTTGAACCAAACAGCTGCAAACAGATGCAAGAGAGCAACGCTGAGATGCTGGTCCTGGGCAGAGGTAGGGGGGGCTGAGACATAACACGCAGAGGGACTCAGTGCAGCCTGAGGTGTGCCAGAGCACAAGATCACTGCAGCTTCTTGAAAACTGTCCCTGCTGTAAATAGAAAACTAAAAAATAAGATAGTTTGTCTCTGCTCTGCTGGAACACATGGCAAAAGTCCCATTGCTCCAGTGATAAAATCAGAAGGCCTAATGTTTCATCATAGCTGTGACTGACATTTGCAGTGACTTCGAAAGGAAAGGTCATGAGTAGAGTAACTGCATTTATTTAAATACCTCCACTTAGCTTCCTTTTTCTTATCATTCCTTCAGTCATAAGATAGAAAAAATACTTTTCAGCAAAAAACTCTTTTTTCCTTCCTAGATCCAATTTATGAACTTTCAGCATTGACTAGCAAAATGGAGCTCAATAAAAGGTAACAATGAAAATTATCACCCTGAAAGAGCCACACAGCTTTTGGCTTGTTTTTCCAGCATCTAAGGCATTGCTCCCATGGCAGCCAGGTGAGCCTTTCTGCCTCACCTCTGAGTGAGAAGACAAACTTGAAAAACAGGGGAGCAAGACACAGAGCTTATTCTGAACAGTAAAAGCCCATGATGAGCCTGGGAGCTGATCCCCTTTGCTCCTGGGGTACCTCGTGCGTCTGGTGGCTGATGGAGCAGGAGGTGCCTAGAGCAGGTGCAGCAGGGGCTGCAGGCTATGGGTGCCTGTGCAGCAGTGCTCGCCTCAGTCACCGCATCTCGTCCTGCTCTACTCTTACACCTTCAGCCAGGTACTGAAGTCACACTTTAGCCACCTGTAGAGATAGTTAGCTGGTGCAATTGATGGCAAAACGTAATGGTGTTTAGTGTATGGTAAAATTAAAACAGGTGGTGAAGGTGACAAAACCCATAATGTCCTGTTAGAATAAAATTTAAAAAAAAATTAAAAAGAGAGATATTCATAAAATTTACCTTTTCACATTTTCACTTCCCAGCTCATCTGGAAAAGAAGAAAGTTGGTGTTCATAGTTCTGCATGATATATACTTCTTTGTATATACAAGGTCTAGACTGCAAGCAAGCCTTGAATAGTGTCAGGTAAAACAGGTTGCATTTTCAAAAGTCATGAAAACTAAATTGTAGATGAAAGACAAAATATCTCATCCTGTTTGTAATTTTCAGAGGAACCCATTATTTTTAATCTTGAACACACTAGCAGCTCATTATTAGCTCAGCCATGCTGGGAGGAAGCCAAGTGTCAGTGCTGCAGTGGGTGGGACAGGGCAGATGCATGCTTCCCTGAGCAAAACAGATGTCATGAGGGAAATGGTACCCTGAAAAGGAACCACTTCTGCAAAAATATTGTTTACGGGAGGCATTGGGACATTTTTCTACAGATTACACACAGGCAATCCAGCTCTATCTGGAGACTCTGGGAGGCACTCATGGAGAGAAGAAGAGGGGGTTGGACTTGCATGGCAGATTAAATCTCAGTCAGGCAAATGAAGCTGAACTAGCCAGATGTCAAAAGGGATCTAAAGCTACTTATGATCCCAAGACAAAGTAAAGATGGGGGGGAAATGGTGTAACAGATAAATAACTTTCCCTCCAGGAACCGAGTGGCTGAAAAGCCTGTCTTAAATTGGCTTATTTTTAATTCATTTTTGCCAATGGGTGCTGATACCTCCCAGTTGTTCCAGTACTCCTGCATTTCCTGACTGCAGGGCCACACAAAAACTACAGAGCCATCTGCCCAAGCCTTGAGGATACTCCAAGCTCCCAGCTCCAAGCAGTAGGCACAGGGCAAGAGAACCCAGGATTGTGTTCCTGAAAGGCACCACATTTCCTATCTCTCTGAAGTGTGTACCTGCACCTCAAATCATCCAGAAACAGGTAGGCAACTAGATGCCTGGTTGTGAATTCAGTTCTTTAGAGGGAGATGCAGTGATAAGGCAAATGCAGCCTAAAAACACCCCAAAAAATTTATTTAAAATCTGTGTTGAAAATGTTGAACTGTCTGCAGGCTGAGGAGCTTACAGCTGTACTCTGGCTCTGTAGAGACACTGATACAACCATTTCAGGACTTTACTTACCAGATGTGTGGTTTTAATATGACACTTCAGTTTGTTTTCTGTGGCTTGACACTCCAAGTTACCACTGTCTTTGCTAAGAGATGAAGGCACCTTCCTGAAGCACTGCTCACCCTACCACAGCACCCAGGCACTCTGACCATGGGATTCCTAGCTCATTTACTGTGATGTTTTCATAGCAGCCACTATCCTATGGGATTGGGATCCCTTAAAATTGTTCCTTAAAATGGTGTTGCTTGTTCTTATTTTATTGAAGCTCCAAGCAGCTTTACCTTGTGGGCAGTATAGGCAATAGAAGCATTAATTTCACTTTGCATGAAGTTATTGAGCATAAAGAGAGAATAAGCATTTGCAGTCACACAGTTACATCCCTAAGTGTTCTAAGCATTGCCAGGAGCTGGAGCTCAGTGCCATGGCTCCCATGGGTATGCAGCAGGAGCAGGAGGTGCGAAGAAGGAGAATTAGCTCCTGCCCAAGTAGAGGTGTGTGCCCAGGTACTGCTACCAAGGAGGATCCTTCTCCTATCTGTCAAACGTGCAACTACAATCAGAGAAGAACATCCTAAATGTGGCATTACAGGCCTCCAAATAACATTTTGTTAATGTTGAGTATCTCCTAAAAATATTCTTTTGATGCACAAGAAGACAAATTTACCTTGCTTAGACTTTTTCCTTTTATGATGTATTACAAAAAATGTGATCAATAAAATCAGCAGGACCAGCAGCACGACAGGGACAACATATATCAAGATAGACTGTTCTGCTGCTTCTAGGCTGTTCTCATCATTTACAGCATTCGGTTCACTACTTGAAGTACTTTCTGTTCCAAAGCTGCTTTCAGTAGCGCTTGTCGTGACAAGTACTGTCTCATGGTCATTCACGGTTGAAGAACCCATAGCAGCAGAAGATGTTACTGCAACAGTGGGTAATGTCAATGGTCCATCTCCTGATCCATCATTTTCAGGGCCTGTCAAATACAGGAGGACAACTTAACATTTAATGCGTTTCATTAGTATTATCAGTGAGTCACAGTGTACAGCTTGAGTATTTACTTTCCATTTCATGTCTTTAAAAAATTAGCAGATGCCCCATACACACAGATTTGAAGTCTTGGGCATCAGATGTAAAATTAGATCACAAATTTATCACAAAATCTTACCAGTTGTGACTATGTTCTTCAGCTGGTTTTTACTGGGACAAGTCAGCATGCGTGGTCTGTCTGTACAAAGCTGCCTTGCACAAACAGACTTCTTTTCCTGCAGGTTGACATCCGGCCTTGCTCACATATAAAATTATTTTGCTTCTCAGTAAACCACACCAGCCTGTTTTGCTCCTCAGTCTTGGCACATACATCCCTCCCCTCACCCAAGGAGTTAGGTACTCCCTTCAAGGAGACCATTATCCCTGGTTCACTAATTCCTTTGGTTCACGTATCTCCCTGTTTCTGTGCCTTTCTCAAATTTTTTAAGTTTGTCTCACTGTGAAAAACAGAATTGCTGAAAGGAAGTCTGAAGGATGCAGAAGCTGCTGACTTCCACTTATGCCTGGGCTAGAAGAGGTGGTAGTGACACAGGGACGTTACTGGGTACAGATGCAATTAACTGTTCCTTTGTCTGATCCTACAGGCTGGCTGAAAGAGCAGATGGTAAAGCATTAATGCTGATTATTCCTCATAAATGCTAAGGCTGGGTGTTTTGGACCTCAGTTTTGGTTTTGGTTTCATTTATCATGCATTTTGCAAGTGGCTAAAATTGGCTATATTGGTAATAGTGAAACAAGTGCTTTTTTGAGGCTAATTAAGAATCTGTATTGACTGTCACAGAGTGTAAAGCTTAAAACAAGTATAGCAAATTATGGGCAGGAATCAGTCCTTAGATAAATTACGATAGCATGCTTCCTAATGCGAAGCCTTCAATAATTTTCTTAGCATGAAATTAAATGATGGGGTTTTTGTGTTATCTGCCCTTTCAGATACAATGCTGGCACAGTGCAGGTCTCATTTTATGCAATAAAGCCGGATGGGATTTCATGACTTTCGCAATGACATGCTTTTCCTCATTCTTGTAAAGTGCTGGGCAGCCATAGTTTCCACTAGAGTTAGCAAGAGCTTAAGGTTTTCAGCACCTCAGTGCTGGCATTTCCAATCTCACAGGACTGGAACCAAAAGTACTTAGCATTTTGAATGCATTTGTAAACACATTAATCTTCATAATGGCCCTGAGAGATGAGCAGTTATCATCTCCATTTTACAAATGAGAAATCAGAAGGACAGGGATGCTGTCCTTCCAAGGGACGCCAAGTGAGAGAGGAAAACTGGGATTAGAGCGCTATCTCTTGCTTAATCCACTCTGCAGCATCTCCTCTCTCCCATCAGATTTGTCTCAAAGAGGAGATGAGTATTTAATGAGACTGTATTTCAGTTTCACATGAAAAAAATTATTTGGGTGTGACAGCAGTGTTCTATCTAGATTTTTATGCTGTGCATATCACACAGGCACCTGACTGTTTTATTCTTTCCTAAAAACTAGGATAGAATTTGAATACTCAATAAAGAATATCTAATACTTGTATATAGTATTTAGTACTGTGAAGGTCACCAGACTACTGCACCACAATAGGACAATGAAAATGATAGCTCTTCAGTCGCAAAGCACTTTGTATCTATAGTCTCTCTGTTGCTTTCTTCTGTATTTATTATTTCAATCAAGAGTGAAACACTATCTCTGCCTCCCTTGCAGGTAATGACCCCTTATGCGTGTGCTCCTCCACCCCTTTCCGTGATCTGCTAGCAGTCCTTAATCCTATCGCAGAGAACAGGAGGGAGAGCTTCTCTCCCTTATTAGTTTGGCCATTTGACTTTTCTTTCCCAAGTTTATAGTTCCTAGTGCCTGCAGCCACTCCATTTGGATTGCTGCTGTGCAGAGCAGAGAGGTAGCACTAGAGATGTCTGTGCCACAGACCGTGGTGTGATAGACCGTGCCACTGGCAGAGCTGATGGCCCACTACAGCCTCACCGAACCTCTTCAATGACCTTGCTTATTTTCTTCCTTTAGCCATCGTCCTTGAAAACCATTGCCTGACACATTTGATACATTGAGAGGGACAAGCCTGTTGCTTAAAATAGTACGAATGTGAAAGGGTGTGGAGAACATACCTTGTTTCTCGTTTACGCTTAGGGTTAAAATGAATTTTTCAAATGTCTAAAGCATGGTGTGGCTTTAAAGCAAAGCAAACAGTCACACCTCATTAACTGCAGTGCTAAAGCTTCAGCTGCAGAGTATGCTGTGCTTGATTTCCGAGACTTTTCCAATATCTCTGGTATTTTTCCTGGTTTTGAGCTATGAAGCAGACTTCAAATCATTTTTCTCTGTGTGAAATAGAATTACCTTTTCTAGTCTCTAGGCAAAGAAAATGGCAAATCAGAGGAAGTGACCTTGCTGCCACGTACTTTTGTTCACTTTGCATAATTCCAGGGACAAAACAGCATTTGTCCGGGAATACCATTTCCTCTTACAGAGATCTTTTCTCTGAGTGAATTAAATACGTCTTTCAGCAGAAGGGCAGCCAATTGCAGAATGTTCTTGCAAGGATATTGCTCTTATTTCCTGCATTTTACCTGCTGCCTCAACATATCTCCCTACCCTGTCACCTCTGAGGACCAGAGCTCGGACCTGAGGGATGCCCTACCTGTCACACGGCAGTTGCTCTCACTCTCAGGCCACCCATACATCACACTTTTTACACAGTAGGAGAGCACAACCTGCACCAGGGTTGGCCTGGTGGCTTGCACCATGAAAGTATTTATACCTCCAGTTTGGCAGGCAGAGACAGGCTCAGGCCTCCCGCACAGCTGCAGGTCTTGCCACAGCCAACTGCCCAGGCCCCATGAGACCCACGTGGCTGGCCTCAAGAGAGCTGCTGTTTTTCACAGTGTTTCAGTTTGAAGTGCTCAAAATAGCGAGTGGGCTGTGTTGCAGCTGTTTTGTAGGGTGAATGAAAGCTGGGTATTGCAAGGTTTGGAGCAGGGCAGAATCACATCTGAAAGCTGGAGATTTTGTGAGATGCTATTCAAATGTTTTCTCCATGCCAGATGTGCAGTGGTAATTCATACCATGAACTGTCTTGTTAGCTGTGCTGGGGTTTCATCTTGCAGAGATCTATTGCCTCCCTGCAAATGGGAATCTGACCATAACATAACATAACATAACATAACATATCAGGATGGAAAACCAAGGCCAAAGGAGTGCAACAAGCAGCAAGTCACAAATGATCATGTACATATCTTCTTGACTTTGCAAAGCCCATGCCCTTTCTCTTGCTGAGCTCAGCCTCATGCTGTTGGCTACAGTCCAACATCCATACTCATCCCTCTGCACAGCTTGTCCAAGGAGCATGTCCTCATACAACAACTGCGTCAGCTTCACTTTTGTCTGAACTGCCTGGGGCATAAATGCTGGTGACTTCTTCCCATATTGAGGGAAGTGGATGGGAACACACCACAGCTTCAGACCAGCCTGTATTGTCACTTTCCATGTTTTCAAGAGCAGAAGAAAGAGGGGCTGGCATGCAGCTGCATCCCACCCTGATGGGGAGGTGGGCACAGGTGGGACTGGAAGCTAAGAAGCTGGAGCCAGAAGTTAAGAAGTCCTCAGGTTTCCACTCTCGAGGTATTAGAGGATCTAGTCCTCAAGGGACCAAAATGTCTGAGCAAGCACTAGCAGCATCTCAGAATAAGTTCAATTAATAGTTCTTAAAAATTTTGAAAAAGCTATGTCCCTATATATACCATGGTATAAGGTGTTATTCAGTATTCTCTACTTCAAAAATATGCTTGGATCACTGATGGTCTTTGCTTGAGTTTTGGAGGTGCTCTCAAACCTGCTTTTTATGGGAGACAGAGGGAGTTGAATATACCAAGTGGCTTTACAGATTGGAGTCCAAAATAACACATCTCAGTCAAACAACACTTCTGTTGTTGAAGCATTTCTTCCTCTGAGGTTTGTGCTGGAGCACTCAGAGGAGATGATATGAGCTTCCTGATTAAGTAAGCAGGCAAACAGGTTTCTGAATTCAGTTGGATGCAAGGCAAAGGAAAATGGCAAAGGAAAATAGCCATCAGTCAGCACATTTGGTTCTGTTGTAAAACTGAACCTGCTGCCTTACCATCAGACTCAAGGACTGGGGTCTCTGAAGGGAATTTTTCAAATTACCCTACAGTATCTACTTACAGAATAAAAAGGAATGGGGTAGAAAGAAAGCAAGAGCTGTGCCACTGGGATAGCCAGGCTTACTAGTTTGAAAGGAAAATTTTTGTCCCATAAGCTATAAAAATGCAGTGAAAGGAATACCCACGAGAAGATGATAGAACAAGAAAAGGCTATAAAACTGGTATGAAGTTACCACATCCTATATCACTCTGCTCTACACACACATTCCTTCTGTTGGTATAGTCATACCACTCCATATGATCCGTATGATCCTCTCCCATACTGCTTGGCTCATCCCTGCAGTGTTCCTCTCCCACATTTGAGATTGCTGTAAGAAGGGCTGTTCCTTGCCATGGCCAGGGCTTGCCCAGATGCCTGTTGAGGCAGGTCTCGCCTGTCAGTCTGGCTGGAAGAGGAATCCTTAAAAGCCTGCAGGCAAGCTGTTGGGTGCGTATGCTGTTCTGATGAGGGAGCACAGGCATTTCAGGATGGCTAATCTGTAGACAAGATCCTATTAAAACGAGGTGCTTAGAAAGCGTTATCTAGGTATAACTTGGAAGAGGAAACAACTGTTTAAGCTCATTTATAGATGATGGAAACTGCTTTTCCTCACTGTATTTTCATCCAGCTGAAGTGCTGCACTAACTGCTGATATTGCAAATTCAGGCACGCGTCTTAGTGTAGTGTCATTTCTCATCCCCAGTACTAAAGGTTTTCCAGACCAATTTATGCATTTAGTTGCTTCTACTTAGTCTCGTGGCCTTCTAGCACTGCATTTATGATACCCGTGCAACCTCACTGTGACGTAAATCTTTTACTGCTCCTTGCTCTCAGGAGGACTCTGAAATTAAAGATTCAAAAGCTCCGGAGGCTTTCCAGCTATCATAAAATCTTGTGATGGAAAAGAGACTGGTGCTACTGACTGAAATTTAGTATAGAGTCTTGCTGATGTAAATGAGAGATTTTCTGAAATGCCCCTGAAGCACTTGAATAAAACACAGTGAATGTTTGTGTATGCGGATAAAAGGGAGGAATGGGAGTAAACAGGTAGGAAGAATTGATGTGTTCAGTAGAAAGGATCTGCTTTTTAGAGGACTGCACTTTGGAAAGACAGTATGTAACAAATCCTCATTTCTTATATTTTTACTTTTACAGAAAATTTCAGCAGGAGACTCTAATGGGTTCAAACCTATTCTTGAGTTCATTACTCTAGGAGGAAACAGGTCAAAACTGCCTGAGAGATCTTGGCTTTTTAGGGACTTAAACTAAAAGGCACTGCTCTGCAAAGGCAAGAGTCGCTGCCTGTGCTCATGGTACAAGCTGCTGAATATCTGGACCTTTGACAGCTCAAAACAATAGCACAATAGACACAGTCTTGGTGATCTTACAGGTTTTACTGTTCCTCTCTCTCACACATTTCTTGCTCCCCATGTCAGACTGCTTATGCTGCAATTTCCCATGCATTTCACTGAACAAAGTGGGAGATGGCATACCCTGAGAAATGACTGTAGGGTCAGAGCCTGTTCCTATAAGCTATAGTAAGGGTCTAAATGCTTGTTACTAGGGTCAGCACACACACCTAGGTAGGTGTATAGGGCTGTTGCAAGGCTGAGCCAGTGAGCACCATCACCTACAGTAGAGATAGCCACTGTCACCTGTAGGGCTTTCTGGCTGCATTAAAGCCAGGGAAAGGGAACTGGTGCAAATCCCGATGTTCCTTCAGTATGGAGTCATGAGAAGGCCAGCACCCAGAGCTGAGACCTCAGGAGTGCACTTAGAGCTACCGGATTAGAGTAATTGTAGCATAGACAGGAGAAAACCATCCATAAAGCATAATCCAAATGGCAAGGCTAACAAGGCTCTGGCATGGTATGGGAATAGGATTTATAAAGGCTTTAATCTGTCTATGCTGCAAGATTTAATCATACTCTGTTTGCCTATTTTGTAAATGGTATTTAGACAGCAGACCACTTTAAAGGTGAGGACTGTGTCTGGTAAATTGTAGAGTTCCCTTACAATTCCTGTCCTGTTGATCTGTGAGCAAGGAGGATTGAAAGCAAAGGATCTCCCTGGGAGGCTACCCTCAGTGAAGGGGCTCTTGACCCACCAGTGCCTCTGGGGTACCTAAGCCCTACAAAAACTGTTCCTCCACCAGTTCAATTTCCCCCCGAAGGCCCAAGTTCACAACTTCCCCCTCCCACCTCCCACCCTTGCAGTTGGAGTACTCCCCCAGTACATTTTGAGGCTGGTTGCATAAGCAAAAGATGCCTTTGTATGGGGAGCAAAGGTGGGTGTTCTCCTCCCATTCCCCAGCTGCTGCAGGCTGGCTCCGGAAAGTCAGGGCTGATGGGCCTTGGGGAGGGTTCTGACAGGACTGACTCACTCCTGAATAGGAACCATTCCAAAAATAACCAGAATTTAAAAGGGGAAGTACTGATAGGAAGCCTCTGAAGGCAGGCAGGGTGTGGGCTGGGGCACCTGACATCTGCCCTGTGCTTCAAGCACCCTTTAATGCCCATGGCAAAGAAGGGCAGGGAGGCTGAGGGGACTGGGGACTAAGGCATCCCTCCACCCTGGGGAGGTGGTGATGAAATAGTATTGATCAGTACCCTGCACATGAACTAAGGAAGCAGGAGCCTGATCACACTGCATCTCCTGCGTTGTGCTCCTCCTTTTCCCTGAGACCTCCGTTTTGCTCTGCCCATGGCAGGATTTTTGTTCCTCTGATCGCTTTAGTTCTGAGCTATGTATGTTCAATGCTTGCAGCATATTTTCCTAATGTGTCTGCAATGCAGCAGAGCTGTAGTAACACAATGAAGACCAAACCATTTTATACCTCACTTAGCTCACTCCTACAGCTGAGCAAGACTCCTAAGCGCAAGCAGCTCAGCAGCACACAGGGAATCTGCAGCCCAGCTTTACACCCTGCTTATAGTACTGGTTTCCAGGGGAAAAGTAGCCACACCAAACCACCTATTACAGAAATGCATTTTAAAACCTTAATAGAAGAAGTCCAGTGATGGCTGAGAGTGACCATCCTCTCTCCCTGCTTTCCACAGAGGCAGCAAACACTTCTAGTCCATACTGAGGCACTTTGGCAGGGATTTGTTTGACACTGAAAGGCTTGTAAGCACCACCTGTCAAGGTTTCACTAAAAGACCTGCCTGTCATGTGCAGTCCCTGGCTGCCAAAATGCCAGTGGAACCAACAAGAGCCTCTACAAGCCCAGCACCACCCAGCATTTTGTCACAAGTGGCTTTTCACTCATGGTTCTTCCCTTCGGAAGGTCAGGACCTAAATCCATGCTGCCGGACACTTTGTTCTGCAGCTGAGAATTCAAAATATTTGTCTCCGGAACTGGCTGTTCTTTTGTTAAACCAGTTTGAGTGCACTGGGACTGCGGAAATTGTCAGTCAGCTTTTGAATGGAAGCAGTGCTCTGTCTTTAACTTTACTGTTAAATGCTGGTAGTATTGGGTGTGGGATTTAAAAATTTCAACAAGTAACTAAAATTGGAAGCAAAATGCCTGGTGGCTCAACATGGAAGCTCCAATTCCCTACACAACTGCAATTTAGGAAATGTAGGAATTGTAGGATTAGGTTGCTGCTGTTTGGGGTTAGGTCTAACGAGAAAAAATCAAACCTTCAAAGAAGACAGGCAGCTTTAAGCAGAGAGGGTAAACAAAGCAAAAAGCAGCAGAGAGCAAGTCCCCACAGATCTTCTCCCCGTGCTTAGCTTGGAGGGTGTTGCCCTCCAACTCGGTCCCATCGCTGCAGGCATAAAACGCGGTCCCACCTCGGCAGGCAAAAGGCGCTTTTTTACTCACCATTTCCAAAAGATCCTCCAGCCAGCGACAGGGCAGAGAGCAGGGTGATAAGGCTGGGGTTTCGCATGCTGCCCTGGCAGTGCTCCCACCTGAGGGGTGCTCCGGCAGGCTCCCTGCTGCACCCAAACATCTACATTTCCTGCTTCCTGCCGAGGTGCATCTGAGCTGCATTTCTTCAGGAGATGGACTCTCTTTGATGGGTTTTAGGAAGTGATGTAATTCCGTCTGGGCCTGTCAAGCAAGCAATGATTGCAAAAGAAAAAGAAGAAAAAAAAAAACCAGAAGTTGCACTTCAAGCACGAACTTGGCTGAAGCACCTTTATTCTGTAGATGAGAGAGCTCCTGCTCTCCTCCACTCCTTTCACGCCCGACTTTAGTACCTTCTGTCTTCATCTATGCACAGTACCACAGGGACAGACATCATACAAATACAAATCAGACACAAAATTTCATTGTTGTGAGTTAGCAGGAAGGTTTTATCTCACTTTTCAAGGTGGTTGAGCAAGCAAATTTCAAAAGTGCCTCCTCTCTTGCCTTGCTTTTCAAGCATGGTAGGACACTGAGTGCATTTATGACCCTAAAAAGGAACCCCAAGTGGAGCGTCTCTAGCAAATGGGATGAATTGCTTTCTCTCTTAGCAGCCTGTAACTGGTATTCTGGACTGGTTTGTACCAAGGAAGAGGACAAAGCAGAAAACCATATCATTTTTTTTTTGTTAGGAGCAGGTGGCTTGGCTGGAAAGTGCTTAGACACTGGTGTGACAATGGTTACAGATGACAGGAGACAGAAGGTCTCAGGTCCCACCAGGGTGCACTACCTGGCACGGGGGTCCACAGTCACAGTTGACGGAGTGGCAAGAGGCAGGTAATTCTGCCTCCCTTCCTTATTCATCTTGATTTTCACTCCTCCTGGCAGTCTCTGTCTGGGTGTGCAGACCATGGGACACAGCTGATGCCCCCCAACACTGCCCTGTCCTCTGTCCCCACCACCCCACCACTGTCCACACACTCAGAAACACATGAGGGCTGACCAGGGGCTTCCACGTATTGCCTGTCACTGGGTAGGAGCAATGGATGAGCTCAACACTAAACCCAACATTTTCAACCTTCTTGCTATATGGGGTGGGCCTATCCAGGGCCAGGAACTGGACCCAGATCTAAATCATACTCGTCTTCAAGCAGGGAGGGTGGTTGGACCATAGGTTTGGTTTGCTCCACTATACAAATAAGTTCTAGGTCTAAAACTCATCCTTCTGAGTCCAGTAGAGTCTATGCTCCAGATTTTACTGCATCACAGGTTTGAGCCATTTTAAATACTTGCATAAAATTTCCCAGTAATAAACTAAGGAACAAGGCATGAATGGTGCCTGTGTAGGAGCTTCATGGTACTTCCCCTAGACATCACTCTGTGTCAAAATCTGATTTCTGGTGAATTTGTTGAAGCTGGCATTGGTGAATCTTTCTGTTCAGATTGGTGGGAAGTGACCAATTGCTGCTCTGTTTCTCCAGCTAATAATTTTTTTTAACATACTGATTCTTTCATAGGTCATCAGTTATAGTTTTCTTAGCTTGAGTAGCTGAGAAATTGGTCAGTGATTCATTTAATGACCAGTTTGTTGACAGATTTAAAACACTTGAATGAGTTCGTTAACTAACTAGTTGCTTAATATTGGCAATGTACATTTATGCACTTCATAAAACAGTGTGGGAAAACAGTAAAGTTACAATATTGCAGCTACAAGAAGATAAAGAGGAGCTCTGAGTTTTGAAGACACTGACTGAGCAATTAAATATTTTTAGGAGATGTTGTTTGATATGATGTCAGTCATACCCAATAACACTTACCAGACAGAAGTGTCAGAGGTGAGACTTGCCAATGCTTTTAAGATTTTTCTGTTAAAAAGGGACAGAAACTCCAAGGATTAATAATAATGTCTAATTGAGATAGTTTGAATTATGAAAGTCAAGAAATTGAGGCTACCAGGCCTCTCCTATGTGCTTAGAGGTGCCATGGATTTGTCTAGTCCACAATAGAAAAACTGGTAATGGGCCAGTGGCCAGCATGGGCAAAGCCTGCCTGTGTTTTCATGAGCATAGACTCAGGTTCTAAAGCTGTTACTGTTGGTCATCCTCAGCTTTTCTTGAACTTCAGACAACAGGAGACAAAATCATACCTTTTCACAGTATTTTTGTTGCTTTAATGTATAAAGGATGTGCTATACTCCTTTCCATTTCTTCCCCATCTCCTTCCCAAGTTTGCCACTCTTGGTCTTTCTAATACCACATGGGTTGCAAACATGCTTCCCTGTTTTATCCTGCCCTGCATATTTGGCATATTTGCCCCATTCTGTAGACTTAGCCCAGCTCACTCATCCCTTACTAAAACATAAAACCTAGACAGAGAAACTGGAAAAGAGAAAAGGACTTCTGTTAGCTGCATTTTATCTCATATTTCTAGTGTAAAAGACTATATCTTTTCCTATTTTCCCTTCTAGTCTTTCTACATAGCTTGTAGGATTTTCCACACAGATTCCCATCAACTATTTTTGACTCACATTTGGCTAACAACTTGTTGTTGCCCCTTGAGAGCAAGATAGACACCCAGTGGTATGTACACAATTATGATTTCTGAGGCAAATAAAAGTACAGGAAAGTGACTCTTGGCCACATTACATTTTAATTTAGACTTCAGAGTGATACAGAGGCAGTTTGGCACACATTTAACTATTTTAATTTTAAAAAAATGTAGAGAAAGAGGAATGAGGTATTTTGAATGCTGACAAATCAGACTGTCAAGCAAGGGCAGTTACCATGGTCCATACCCAGTAGCATCAGGATTATGTTCCCCTGAAGCACTCCCAGCAGGCTCCCTTTTGCCTGCCTGGAAAGTAAGGTTGGCAACCTTTGCCTTGGTCATGTTCCTCAGCCTCATGCATCTCTCTTAATAGCAGAAATGCAGAACCCAAAAACTGTAGTGACAGCCTTGCTGCAAAACTATGTATTTGGAAACCCAGGTGGCTTCAGTTAGATGATTTTGTAAGAGAGGTGGATTGTATCTGATAATTTCATAGGCCTTAAGCATTTACTAGGATTCACAATGCACCTTAGCAAAAAGGAATGTCTTTTCACGGGTCAAACAACTAAGTTTCCTGGGTGCTTTCAATGTGTGTTACACAGCTGGAAACATTCTGTGCATGTTTGATGTTACTGTTTCATTGGGTTTTATATTATAAAGGACATTTCTGACCACCTAGCTAGGCTCTTTGCTAATGTTCTTCCCTAATCAGAGAAGGATTTGCATCACTGAGATTACAGGATGTCACCAGCTGGACATTTTCAGAAAAACAGAAACGTACTGTAATGCTGCAGCCACTTGACACATGCCCTTCTTGTTCCTTTTTCCTATGAAAACAACAACAGCTAAACTTTTGCAACTCATGTGGCAAGTTTAGGGTTAGTTATAGGGCTTATATTATAACCCCCTGCTATTGCAGCTTGTCTGCTGCGGACATTGGCAGCTAATCCACCTGCTCTGAAGTGCAGGCAAGGGCTAGAGCTAGCCAAGTTCTGCTAGTCCCTTGATGACTTATTTCTGCCTCTGACATACGTTGGGAAAGGACAGATAAATTTTTCCCACAAGTCACTGTGAAAGAATGGGAACTAGAACTGTATTGCAATTCACTGCAACATTAAAATAAATAAATAAACAAATAATCATCAAAGCAAAGGCGAATGTGCAAAGCCCACGGGAATCTGCTCAAGCCAGGCAGAGCCCTGGCTGCAATGGTGCTTCTGTGGGATGCCGATCTAAGTAAGATTTGCAGAATTGAGGCTAAGATCCACAGCATTCTTGTGTAGAAACGTCATGTGGATTTGGAACTGCATCCATGGTTGTACTTGTTTCAGAGCAAGCATTGCCTGCCTGAGTTGCAGAAGGTAAAGCCCTCTTTCCAGCAAACTCTCTCAACTCTAGATTATTTGAAAAGACAAATTACATTGTATTTCAGCCACAGAGGTGCTTAAGAAAAAGGTTTATATCTCTCTGAAACCAATGCCACCAGTATAAACTAGAACAATGTTTAGAATAATGAGATATAGTCCCTAACTGGGTATCATAAAAATATCTAAAATGAGAGTGACAATAAAAGCATAAAAACAAGTACCTTCCATCTTTAAGAACCTCTTTGCTTAACTGGACTTGTAATTATCTTCTTTTGCCTTTTTTTATTTTCCTCCTTCTACACAATACAGGCTGTTAAATCACAGCTGTAATATTTTGGATACTTCAGTAGGAACAGAAATAAAATACAAAACTATACTTGAAAATATCCAGATGTTTGTATCTAAGTTTCCTTTAACAAAATGAAAAATGGATTCCTAAGAGAGACTTCTAACATTGAAAATCTCATCTGAAATTAAAAAGAATGCAGAGAGGGTGATGGCAGACTTACATTGAAGTGCAGTTGGACACTTCATTTCTACTCGTTTCTTGGAAAGTGGTACATGGATTATCAATTTTGCACATGCCAGAAGCTTCTTAAGTTATTTGTGACTTGTGTAAAATCCTAAAACAGGTGATGCCTCCATTCTATTGCAGTACTGGCAATGTTTTGAAATATGCCTCCTCCTTGGAGCTTAGCTTTCCTCCAGGAAAAATCCATGGCTGAAACAGCATTTCTGAAAGGACAATGTCTGGTCAGCAAAATCATCATTTGACCACTGGAGAAACACAGCATTACTGGCTGATGTAGGTAGTGCCTCCCTCTAGCCTAGTGTGGGCTTTGCCCATAAAATCCTTCACCACAATCTTTCAAGACCTTTGAAATTTAGGTGGGACTCCATGAGGTCTTTGTCTCAGTGCAGGGTTGCAATGTATCCCAAACTTGTATTAAGTGTACATTTGATAAAAACAGTCCAAGATAAACTAATTAAAGGAACAAGTGGGTCATCGGGGCACTCCAACTCTGTTGACAGGAGAGGGTCCCCTTCCACTCCCCGTTGGGGAAGACATCTGACCAGAACTGGACTCCAAAAGTAGAGCTGTGTAATAAACTAGGAGGAATGAGATGCCTCCCAGTGGGACACGAGTGGGTTCAAATGCCTGTTCAGAATAGAAACAGACGACAGTCTCCAGTATCAGGAATAAAGGTGTTTTGTACAGAAATGGCTGTGC